TATATATATATATATATACACACACACACACACACACAGGCATATGTCTCTGCTGTTGGGTGAAAAGGCTAAGTGTACACAGAACACTAAAAAGGTTCAAGAGCTGTTAATATCGGGGCACCCTGCTAGGTTGGAACTGACCCGAGTGTAGATAGTGGCTTGAGTGAGCAGATGTTTTGTTTGTTTACACAAAGCACGTGCTGTACAAAGCCCTCCTGCATTGTAACAGTGTTTGTTTGCTGCCTTGCTGAATAACGGTGCAGGAAAAACCTACTTGGGCTGTTCATGGGTTCAATGCCAATTCCGGCATTAATATTATTTTTTTTGTGGTGGTGGGGAGGTGCCAAGTGCTTTCCAAGTCAGTTCCCTTATTAAAGGGCCACTTTGCTCAAATGCCTGTTGCTTTGCAAAAAAAATATTAATAGCATTGAGAACTTAACTGGTAACCCTGATAGAGATTTTTGACACATATACAGGGGTATTCAGTATTGCGTTTGCGTCAGAATTCTGGTGCTAATGAAGCCTAAGAAATGTCTGCAGCAATTCTAAAATACGCTGCGCTATTTTCTGGACCTCTACCGACTTCTGCGCCAAATTCAAGTAGTTCTTATCTGCACCATATTTCATTCTGCTGCTGTTCTTGCGACATATTTAATAAATAAACTCCGACAGTCTGGTAATAAGAAAAGTGATGCAAAGTGAGAGAAGTACTTTTTTGGTTTAACTAGTCTGGCGTACGTTCATATTGTATATGTCTGTCGCAGTATGAGATGCATACATACCTCAGGTGCGACATTCCTTGAAACTAAGGTTTTATCTGAAATCTGTCTCAGACAAATATGTGACACTTTGGAAATTTTTGTTGGTATAACCCCACACCACCACCAGATTCAAAAGAAGGTATTTTACAGTCTAAGGAACCATTAGGACCTATGCAAGATATAGGTGAATATTTAGTCTCTGAGCCCCATGTGGTAGTTACTTTATGAAGTCCAGCTGATATCTGGGGGAACCAGGCTGTCCTGGGGCAAGATTTGAACATTTCTGCCTCGATGGTCCTTCTCAAAGCAAGAAAGATGTCTATAGCCACATATATCCCCACAACCTCTAACTTCATATGTTTGTTTTTTATCTTGGGCCCAGATGAGTGTAGCAGCTCTCCAACAATTAATCATTTTCAGTTCTTATTATGTATAATCCTATGTGTGGAAAAAATGGTGTATACAAATTCAAATAGACATGAAGACATAAAAAGGAGGCGTGCAGGGATGAAAGCCATCTGTCTATTGAGCAGATGCACCTGTGAAGAATCAGACTTTGGTTCTGATTAAAGACGAATAAATAAGTAGCTGTTTAGATTTGGATGAAACTATTTCCGTCTCCAATTTGGATGTGTTCTGCACTTATATAACATTACTACCAGGATTTGAGTACACATATTCTGACAAATAACTGATATGTTGGCCAAATTTTAAGTCAACTTCCTTTTTACCATTCAGTAAAAATACATTGTTAATTTACCTGGAAGATGGAAAAATTATCCTCCAATCCTCTGCGTTATTATGTGCCAGCATTATTTAAATAAAAGGGGAAAAAAAGGAAATGTTCTGCAGTATGTGAATACAACGCAGATTATTTACTCTTAATCATAGCAGCAGCATATCTGGTGCCAACTCACATGTATCTAGGTTGTGGCGGTAAAGACAGACTTTGGAAGTATATTACAATGTGTACTGCTTGCACTAATTTCTGATTTGTCATTGCCAGCTGTAGATCAGTCTCCAGCAATGTAAAGTATATACTGGGTTTTAAAAGTACAGCCTTAACTTTTAGAAAAAGAGTAAGTTTTGACAGACTTCTGCTCAGTCTTCAAAAAAATATATCACAGGCTATGTAGAGTTTACACTACTGTACGTGTATATTAAGGTGGAAACACAACTGTATAGGTTGAACATAGCTATACCCCATCAAGAGAGCAAGCCTGGTGGCTACTTTACAACACACACAGGGACCATGGGAAATTAAAGTAGCCACCCACCAGAAGGAAGGACAGGGTCACCACCAATTCAGAGATGATTTGAGGATCTACAGCCGTGTGATAACAATACTGTACCTTATTTGTGTAATAGTTAAGTAACCTGAATGCATTTTTAAGATTCAACTCCCAGGTTTAGTGTCACTTTAATGTGCCTGACATTAATGTACTATATGAGAACAGCCAGTGTGAAACCAGTCTTCATTATTTTGATGATGCCAAACCACTATAAGATGACATGTGACTGGTTGTTCTGAATTACTGCAGATCATGGCACTTTTGTCGTGTTCCAAGTCATATCTGCATTTTAATAATGTATGCTTTGCTCAAAATATTAAAAACAATACCATAAAATGTATTATGGCAATATCAGTACAGCTTCAGCCCTATGAAAAAATAATTATAACAGTTGTAATAGGCATAAAACAGCTCAGAGCATGTCAACAGCCCTGAAATACCTAATACATTTAAGGCAATTACATGAAGAATTCCTTGGGGGCCCAGAAAATTTATTTTAATGATAATTCCATTCCCAGTCATGAAAGAAAAGGAAAAGCATATAATAGTAATTAGGGGGCGATTACTTGTCTTAGACAATACATAACTGAGCTGGTAGGAGTGCAGGGAAATACAATCCACATGAAATACACCCACGAGAAACAGACAGATCATAGTGCGAGTCCAGATTATATAAAGAAATTCATTAACCTGAGAAATTGTTTGTACACATCTTATGATTTTCCAAAACTAGAACCAATTTCATGACCATGTGTGTAGGTAGACATCTGTTTCTTACCTCACAATTGCTGAGATCTAGAGACACGTCCTTTAGGTTAGGGTTACATGCCAAGCCAAGCAGTAGAGCTCTGGAAAACATATTTCAGCTATGATTAAACAAACAATAACTCTACTTCGACATTGCCCTAGTAGTTTAGTACTGCATACTGTGTCTTCCAGGCTAATTTGTAGGGAGGTGCATACCCATTAAAAAGCAGTAAAAACCAGAAGTGGATATCTTCATGTGTTTTATTATTATTGCTTTTTTTTTTTTCTTTCTCAGTAGAAAAGTAATATTCAGCCATAGTTTACAAAAGGTAATAAAACACAAAATTCTTTTCACTGGCACATATTGACCCATTTGAGCTACAGTCAGTTAGCCTTTGAATTACATTATGCACAAACAGTAGACACAACTACAGTGCTATAATTGAAAAATCGAACTGTCTATTGAGAACTAAATGTTTCTTTAGTACAAAAACTTCAAACAAAAAAAACAACAAATGATCAAATATATAATTGTCTTTAAACAAATCTGAATGTCTTTTCCCCTCGTAATGCATTACACACACATATATATATATGTATGTATATGTATGTATATATATATATATATATACATACATACATATATACATACATATACATACACACATACATACCCGTATATAAACCCA